CATGTAAACTCACTGAGCAGGTCCTCAATCCCTCTGTTACTGTGTCACTATACCCCACTCCCTCTAACATGTAAACTCACTGAGCAGGCCCTCAATCCCTCTGTTACTGTGTCACTATACCCCACTCCCTCTAACATGTAAACTCACTGAGCAGGGCCCTCAATCCCTCTGTTACTGTGTCACTATACCCCACTCCCTCTAACATGCAAACTCACTGAGCAGGGCCTCAATCCCTCTGTTACTGTGTCACTATACCCCACTCCCTCTAACATGTAAACTCACTGAGCAGGGCCCTCAATCCCTCTGTTACTGTGTCACTATACCCCCACTCCCTCTAGCATGTAAACTCACTGAGCAGGCCCTCAATCCCTCTGTTACTGTGTCACTATACCCCACTCCCTCTAACATGTAAACTCACTGAGCAGGCCCCTCAATCCCTCTGTTACTGTGTCACTATACCCCACTCCCTCTAACATGTAAACTCACTGAGCAGGGCCCTCAATCCCTCTGTTACTGTCTCACTATACCACACTCCCTCTAACATGTAAACTCACTGAGCAGGGCCCTCAATCCCTCTGTTACTGTGTCGCTATACCCCACTCCCTCTAACATGTAAACTCACTGAGCAGGGCCTCAATCCCTCTGTTACTGTGTCGCTATACCCCACTCCCTCTAACATGTAAACTCACTGAGCAGGGCCCTCAATCCCTCTGTTACTGTGTCACTATACCCCACTCCCTCTAACATGTAAACTCACTGAGCAGGCCCTCAATCCCTCTGTTACTGTGTCACTATACCCCACTCCCTCTAACATATAAACTCACTGAGCAGGCCCTCAATCCCTCTGTTACTGTGTCACTATACCCCACTCCCTCTAACATGTAAACTCACTGAGCAGGCCCTCAATCCCTCTATTACTGTGTGTCCATTTGTCTGGTTACAATTACGTCTGTTAGTCCACCCATTGTACAGCGCTATGAATTTGCTGGCACTTTATAAATTATAAAGTAATAATAATGAAAATAAAGTGCAAGTCTTGTAATATATCACAATACAGGAAAATGTGCACAAACTAAAGGATGTACCACTGGGCTAATAACACATACATAATGTGAGCCCCTGTCACAAATGTAAGAAGCAATGCTCTAATATTTATAATTTAATTGTTTTAAATGTGGTTTATTCTGGGCATCATATATGCTGCCTTTTATAATTTATTTAATAAACATAATAAATAAAATTATGTAGAATGAGCATTTCGCAAGCACTACTTGGCCTTGCCTTGCAGGATAACATAAAGCAAGCTGTCCTAGATCTGTCAGGACAGACTGAGTCCAGTGGTTGATGGAATTCACCAAGTTTATTTATGTCTGGCTCTAAAACATACCATTTGAATTTTTTTTTTATACTCCATGCAAGCTTTCAATTTTTTTCCCACAATGGCTTGATGGAATCTATTACAATTCTATCATACTTCCGTATACTTCTAATTATAATGATTAATGGATTTCATTTAAACAGAGGATATTTCCAGGATCATACTGGCTGTCAAAACTCCTGCTCCGCAGTTCCCTGGCGATGCGCCAGGCAGTTGTTCCCTATTTGCGAATTTCTTGAGGCACGGCATGTTAAGCAATTGCTTACTCACACCTTGAGGAATTTCAGCTCAGTAAAATCCTGTGTGCTCTGGAGAAAAAAAAGAAGTCCCTTTTGCTTTTAAATATTAAAAACCTGCCAGTGTAATTAAGTTTCTTTATTTTATTCAGCTATAATCAGACATGGCAGTTTACTTCCTTAATTTCATGGAGGAAAAAAAATGCAATGAAGATTTTTGAAAAAGAATTGGCATTTTATTAGAATTTGGATACTCAAAATACACCTTAGTCAGGGTATGAAAAAAAGAAACATTGTTACGTCAACAATAAGTATGCACCAACAATAATGAAACATCAACAATAATGAATCTATGGTGGTGGTTGCAATCGGGTCTGTCTATGAGTACTAACTCGGCTGTTACGAGGGATAGTTATGGGTATATGACTTCAGGAACATTTTACTGGTGCTGGTAAGATTAAGGTAAAATGGAATGAAGTGAAAGGTTGCAAGAGTCACCTAGGAGGAGTGCGGCATCTGCACTTCAGAGCTTAGGATTGTCTCTTTGTCATAATTGGCACATAGGGGCCTTTCTTTGGCCCTGGTTGTTCTTGGACTGACGTTGCGTCTGGTTGTCTTTCCCTCTAGTTTCTCTCTTGTCTGCATCTTGGAGTTTCAGCTGCCGTAGGAATACCTCTTGTTCATCTGTGGAGGATAGGGTGTGTTGGGAATAATACACTTTGCATATATACAATGCTTAGCGACCCAATGCTCAAGCTACAGATGACTGGATGTCCAGTTTGTTTGAAATTGGCTATTGTGGAGCATGTCGGGAACAATAAACTTTTTCTACATACAATGCTTCGTAAATATAACCCTAGACAAGAGCTATAGAACATTGTGTAACAGTTGTTGGTGTTATTTCCTGTGTGTTTCTGCCGTTGGCCTTATTTCCTGTGTTTCTCTCTTTGATCATAACTGCTTAGTAAAGTGTGATTTAGAACTGGGTAGTTAACATATTTTTATTCTAAGTGCATATTAATTCTAAGTACGTAGTTATATTGAAACTTAGCTTTGAGCAAGGCCCGAACATGAAGATACACCTGCAAGCTAGCTATAGGTTTCGATGTTAAGATAAGATATATGATTTTGTTAGGATTAGATAATGCTTGTAAGACCACCCCTGTTTCCTGCTGAATATAACCTGTTACACAGCCTATTAAATGTTCAAAGTCACCTTTAACCTTACATTGTCTTGTCTCGTTCATTGGGGCTCCTCACCAGCTGGTTTGGGGATGAGGAGAAATACAGAGAGTTGCAAATTGATACAAAAGACCATGGCAAGGGTAAATTACTGACAGAGAAAATTCCTCACTATCAGGGTGACTGTCTGATCTCCCCATGCTACCGCCAAGGATCCATCTGCACCCCATTGGTATCTGACTCCAGCATCGCTCAATCTTTTGGCTATAGATGCCAGTTGTTGTCTTTCCACAAGCGCTGTGAATGGAAGGTCTCCGTAGAATACCACATGATCACCATACAACTGCCCTGTGCCCAGGTCTCTGGAGCGGGACATTATAGCGGAGTGAGTCACCACATCCTTCGTCACCACTATAGTGTCTCTGGGCGAGTCTGCTGGAGCTGTTGCGGATACTGTATGCGGACATTATCATGTCCGGTTCAACGCCCCCCTTGATGCCCATTACTGCGAGCAGGCAATGTATGTATGGCAATAAAGCTTCCACTCCAACACCCTCTGGGATACCTCGGAGACGGATATTCCGCTGTCGATGGCAGGATTCCAGTACCATGACCGTCCGCGTGAGTTTCTGGACTAGTAGGGTAAGCTCCTGCATTGTGTCTCTGGATTGCTGTATCTGGTGGTCTCTTGCTCTCTCGCTAGATTCTACTGCTGTAAGCCACTTTTGAATGTTTCCCACCTTTAGCAGGTTTGCCCTCCACACCTCCCGCATTTCTTCCAAGAGGTCTCTTATGTCCCTCTTTGTCACTGGTGATGTGTCTTCTTCCATTTCTGAGTCTCGGTAGTGGTCCCCATCGTCTGCCGGAGGCAAGGTAAGGCTCTCTCTGTCCTTGTGGGAATCTTCTGAGGCTTCCTCCTCACTTAGTGCTGCAGGCCATCTTAGCGGGAGCTGGTGGGGCAGGCCTCACAAACGAGAATATCTGTCATATAAGGCGTCTCCGGCATACAAAGCCTCTTATTTTTGCGTGGTGGGAGGCGCGTGTGTGGTTGTTGGTGGGAGCCATTTCTCAGGGTTTTTTGGCTTATTTAGCAGTCTCTGGACCAAAGCTCCTTTGGAGAGCGTCCTTCTAGCAAGGCAGTTGGCCACACCCCCAAGATTTTTTTGTTGTTGTAATTTTATTTGATGATGATTAAAGATTATTTAAAATTTTTGGAAAACATCTAAATAAGCAATGCACCGGCGTTTTGTGCTGCCAACTTGCACATAATTAAGTTGCAAATAAATAAATAAAATAATAAAAATCAAGATTTTCAAGTGTCAAAAAAAAATTTTTTTTTTTTTTTCTTTTGCCTACTAAGCATTATTCCACGGGGCATTCTACTCTCAAATTATTTGATCTAATGAACTTGAAATGGCCCTTTGCAGACTACGTGAAATAAATGATTATCATGGCTTGAATGTTAGTTTCTTAGTAGAAGTCTCTTCTCCATCTCCCTCCTTGGTAGACTCCAGGATTAGACTTTGATGTGAGTGCTTCTATACAGCATGAACTGAGGTTTCAACTCAGCAGTTCAAAGTTCAGACCATTCTCATGCATCTGCAATGAGCCAAATCGTACTTCACGACCATTAGCTTATCCGTTCACAGGAATGTTTTCAAAGACAAAATCAAAGGGATCAATCTAGCATTGCTTTGACATCCCAGTGTATTCTACTAATCACATCTATCTGGCCCAGTCAAGTTATGGTTACAGCTTGAAAACCGGTGGGACTCCTGGAAGACGAGGATAATTCCACATTGGATCGAAGGTTCGAACGCATGGACTTCTTTGCCGGCACCGATAAATCGTTCAGAATATTCTAACTAGTCATTGGGGTATCGTTACATAAAGCTATTTCCAGCCTTTTCTAAAATCACACTTCTCTTTTATGGCGAATAAATACTGATATTTAGGCAACTAAGCTGGACTTTCTTTCATGGATATTTCATTAAGTCTCCAGAACACGTAGAAATCCAGAATTTGGAGTAAAATCTTCAGACTGACATCTATATTGCAAAAAATGTTTTTTGAAAACCATGAATTTTGACTGTCATTAATAGGATATTGTACACTAGCAATCAAAAATAGTCAATTATAGTGATTATGGTACTAGGCATGCGCTGTGCCTTCCCAACATAATCTGTCAAACTATTATAACATGGGTCACATTTACATGGGTCCAGCCACGCGCCTGCGCTGCTTCTGGTATTCTCGTGACGGAGAAACTGGATGTCATCTTGTGCAATACAAGAACTCATTCAGTGGCTCAGAGCGCTCAGATGTCATCTCCTCCCCTTCTGGATTATCCTGCTAACACTGTTTGACAGATGATGCTTTGATAGCCCATTATTCATATTCCCATTCTCCTGTGAGTTCTGCAGGGTTTTATGTTTACTGGGCTACATAGAGAGACAGATTGAGATAGACAGACAGACAGACAGATAGATAGATGGATAGACAGACAGACAGCTACCATACACTATCGTACGCTGGGGCAGCGGCTTATTTTTCACCAGCAATTGCACAAATACAATGTATGGAGAAATCAAAAAATGAAACTTAATAGCACGAACATTGGAGAAAAAAAAGGTGAAAAAATGGCACGTGAATATAAATATATAATATGAGAGTCGCCATGGTGTCTGCATTTACAAATGTAATGCATTTATGGAGTAATTAAAATGTGGGAGCTGCTAAATGCCCAAAATACACCATAGGGTCATCTTTACTTTTCATAAAAAAAAAAAAAAAAAACTGCACTAACTGCAAGCCTTGTACTCGGGAGATACAACTGAGCACAATTTAGGGGTTTTATTACAGGAGCACACATCAAGTTTACTAAATAAAACAACATACAATATGCATGTAAAATAACACAAACATAAAATAATATCACATCAATATTGTAACTGTATAAAACTGAAATAGTCAGGTCTCTTATATGGCATTGTAGCTTCACAAGATAGTGGCATAAATTGGGGGTATTGTTTTATTCAGAAGAGTTGCAGAGCATAATTTATGTGGTTTAATCATAGTGGCACATATTTGTTTTACAAAGGGCCCAGCAAAAATGTAATTTAAATGCAAATATATATATATATATGTTTCACCTCACAATTTGGCATAAACTGGTGAAAAAAAGGCATTACGTTAAGGTATAATATACACAACATGAGATACCCTGGAGTATCAACGTTCACAAATGGTAAACAGTCAAACTGCTATAATGGAGTAAATAAAACATATGTCCATCAAACCCATTTATCTTACTGTAAAAACTGAAATGGTCAGGTCTCTCATGTGGCGGTGTAGGTGACAAAGGCATTGGAGTTATCGTTGTACTTAGAAGATGTATGGGGTTTGTACAGGAGTAACACAGATCAGGTTGACGAATACCACCCCCCACCCCCCAACACCACAATTGTAGCATAGATTGGCAGGTAAATGGTTACATAAAAAGTGTCAAACTACCCTAGGGTAAATAGCCTTCAATGCCTACTTTATATAAATATAATTTATTTTCATTGAAATTGTATTCTTTTCCATGTATTTTGTGACGTGTGACTACCATACTTTTATGTGATGTCCCAATGAAAGTTCCATTGAGGAACTGAAATGTTGACTTGGAGAATAAAAGTACAAATTGATTGTAAATCCAGGAGAGCCCCGGTATTTTTCATATGAGATATGTTGTGAAAGAATATAAATTGATATATAGGGTATTCTGAACTTTCTGTGATCTATGTCTAAATGTGTAACAAGAGGAGCTGCTTACGGCTGGAGAATATGAAGACGTTGCACTGTGTGCTTGCGACAGTCCGAGTTAACTGTCGCAGTCTAAAATAAGACTATGTTTGTAGCTATTTCCTTATTCTACAATTGCATAAATAAACAATGATCTCCCAATAGAGCAGAGACAATATTGGAAGTTACAACAAGTGTTTCTGTGGTTTATTGTCTCTCTTATTGATTATTGATTAGGAGCCTCAGAATCATACCTGGTGGTGATTGATCCACGACAAAATGTATATACCTGTATATAAATATATATATTTTATAGGTGTAAAAAATGAGAAAAACAAATCTCCATCTAGTTTATTTCAGGGTCCTTTAGCCATTTCCATACCTTATGCCAGACACTGTTAGTCTGTGTGATACTCCCCGCTTCACTACCATCCATAGGCGTGCGCAGCCTATTGCATTAGGGTGTGCACCCTAAAGCACAAGCACACGCCGCATATATGTATGTATGTATGTATGTATGTATATACATACACATATATACACACATACACACACTGCTGTGTGTGTGCTGTGTGAGGGTGCTGTTAGTGTGATGTGTGTGTGACGATGCTGGTAGTGTGCTATGTGGGTGAGGGTGTTTGTGTGTGTGTGCTTGTGAGGATGCTGTTAATGTACTGTGTGTGAGGGTGCTGTTTGTGTGTGTGTGCGCTTGTGAGGGTGCTGTTAATGTACTGTGTGTGAGGGTGCTGTTTGTGTGTGAGGGTACTGGTAGTGTGCTGTGTGTGTGTTTTTTAGGGTCCTGTTTGTGTTTGTGAGGGTACTGTTAGTGTGCTGTGTGTGTGTGAGGGTGCTGTTTGTGTGCTGTGTGTGAGGGTGCTGTGTGTGTTTGTGGGGGTGCTGTATGTGTGTGTGGGTGCTGTATGTGTGTTGGTGCTGTGTATGTCTGTGGGTGCTGTATGTGTGTGGGTGCTGTATGTGTGTGGGTGCTGTGTGGGTGCTGTGTATGTCTGTGGGTGCTGAATGTATGTGGGTGCTGAATGTATGTGGGTGCTGAATGTGTGTGGGTGCTGAATGTGTGTGGGTGCTGTGTGAGTTACTGTGTATGTCTGTGGGTGCTGTGTATGTCTGGGTGCTGGATGTCTGTGGGTGCTGTGTGTGTCTGTGGGTGCTGTGTGTGTGGGTGTGTATGTCTGTGGGTGCTTTGTGTGTGTGTGGGTGCTGTGTATGTGTGTGGGTGCTGTATGTGTGTGGGTGCTGTGTATGTCTGTGGGTGCTGAATGTGTGTGGGTGCTGTATGTGTGTGGGTGCTGAATGTGTGTGGGTGCTTTGTATGACTGTGGGTGCTGTATATGTCTGTGGGTGCTGTGTGGGTGCTGTATGTCTGTGGGTGCTGTGTATGTCTGTGGGTGCTGTGTATGTCTGTGGGTGCTGTATGTCTGTGGGTTCTGTGTATGTCTGTGGGTTCTGTGTATGTCTGTGGGTGCTGTGTATGTCTGTGGGTTGTGTATGTCTGTGGGTGCTGAATGTGTATGGGTGCTGAATGTGTGTGGGTGCTGAATGTGTGTGGGTGCTGAATGTGTGTGGGTGCTGTATGTGTGTGGGTGCTGAATGTGTGTGGGTGCTGAATGTGTGTGGGTGCTGTGTATGTCTGTGGGTGCTGTGTGTGTCTGTGGGTGCTGTATGTGTGTGGGTGCTGTGTATGTCTGTGGGTGCTGTGTATGGGTGCTGTGTATGTCTGTGGGTGCTGTGTATGTTTGTGGGTGCTGTGTATGTTTGTGTGTGCTGAATGTATGTGGGTGCTGTGTATGTCTGTGGGTGCTGTATGTCTGTGGGTGCTGAATGTGTGTGGGTGCTGAATGTGTGTGGGTGGTGTATGTCTGTGGGTGCTGTGTATGTCTATGGGTGCTGGATGTCTGTGGGTGTTGTGTATGTCTGTGGGTGCTGTGTATGTCTGTGGGTGCTGTGTATGTCTGTGGGTGTTGTGTATGTCTGTGGGTGTTGTGTATGTGTGGGTGCTGTATATGTCTGTGGGTGCTGTATATGTCTGTGGGTGCTGTATGTGTGTGTGCTGTATGTGTGTGTGTGTGCTGTGTGTGTGTGTGTGCTGTATGTGTGTGTGCTGTATGTGTGTGGGTGGGTGATTGTGGGGGGTGGAGGTGGGGGTACATTATTTGCTATCCCCCCTCCCTTCTTACCTTTTGTAGGGAGGGGGGATAGTGCTGCTGCTTCCTTCCCTGGTGGTCCAGTGGAGGAGGGGATCCTTGCTGCTGTGATCCCTGGTGGTCCAGTGGAGAGTGAACTCTAACCCCTGTGGGACTAGAGTTCACTCTCGCGAGATTTGAGCGTTGCCGTGGCAACGCTCATATCTCGCGAGAGGCACCCGGCGGAGCTGCCGGCAATTGCTCCGCCGGTCCTCTCCTGCCTCCCTCCCTGCATGCGGGTCAGTGGGGAGGGAGGCTGAGAGCAGAGCCGGCGCTCGGATAGCGCCGGCTCTGCATGAACGACAGGGGAGATCCTGAGATCTCCCCTGCCGGTCTCAATACACATAGGCGTGCCGCGGGATTAGGGTGTGCCCAGGCACACCTGGCACACCCCGTGCGCACGCCTATGCTACCATCATAAACAGACAAGACCATAGAGACTAGCTGTTGATATTCAAACACTGTCTGACCCAAGGTGCCTGTATACGGCTGAATGATCCTGTCATATAATAAAGGTAGGGATGATTTTTCTCATATTTACTTATTATCCAAGCAAAAAAAAAAATGCATTTCCTTTCGAAATTGAATGTAAGGATTATTATATAAAAACATTGTTTTGAGGTGACAGTTGGCCTTTAAATTGTATCGCTTTCTTATTGGCTTTTAGAACAAGGTGCCCAGAAAGGAACATTCTATCGTTAAAAATAAACATTTGTTTTTCCCATTAGAGTGTTCCTTTTATTATATTATCCTCCCGTGTATTTTGCTCTTTCTTGCCCCTTTTTGGTAATGATAACATTTAACTGAGAGCTACTCTATCTTACACCAAATCCCATCAATGTGCAAAAAGTTACAAACCATAAACTAAGAATGTAGTCTCCTGATCTGCGCCAATAACTTTTCCTTTCTTCTGATTATTATTATTTTTATTGTTTCTTTATATTTCACGAATTTCTCCTCTAAAATGTGATCTTGCCACTCAGTTCAGATCACGCTTAAAAGTCTTGAACCATAAATCACAAATTATACGTTTTATATGTAAGTGATTCATTTGTATTCCATTACATTCAACATGAAAAAAGTGGAATTTAACGTCAATCTATAATAGCTCACTTAAGATAATTTTATGGGCTTAACAGTCATTCAGAGCTGCTCATATTCTCCCTTACAGACTAATTGATTTTTAAACGCTCAGTCTGACATTCTGTGTTTAATATCTTGGTTGAATTAAAATTTTGATAAAATATTTCTTCGCTTATGATTTAGATTAATTAATGAATAAATAATAATTATGCTGGGTGACTATTTTTGCTATATATATTTATTTACATGATAAATACTATAAATCAAAGAGGTTGTGCCATAAACCTGTCCTGTAGCCCATGGAGCAGCGTAGCTAAGGGGAGTGGGCCTTGACATTGCCTGGAGACAGGCCATCTAAGGGTCAGTCGTCAGGGATTGGTCTAAAGAAATAGTGTGGGGTGGAGTTATAAGGGGAGTATAAGTATTGGCCATTTTAGAACTAGGGATCACTTTAATCTAAGTTGCACTTACCTGTTGTTTTGGCAGGATTTGTGTGGCTTTTTCTTTTGTCTCCTCTGCAGGTCAGCAAGATGGAAGATTGGTTGGAAGGAGTCCGGGCTGCTGTGCAGGAGAGGGGAATCGAGTGGCTCAGGGATCGCCTTGGAAATGCTCTGGATCTGGAAGCTCCCAGGGTCAGAGGCCGGTCAGGAGGACGAGGCCCCCGCAGAGGTTGAGCCCCAGCGTGGTTCCCGGTTCCCGGCGTCCAAGGAGCCCTTCCGGAGGTCCCAATGGCGGCGGGGAGAGTGCCGGCGGGGAGGCCGCAAGTGGAGGTGGTCGAGGAAGGCGTCATGGTGCAGCCGCGCGAACACGCCGTCAGGCGAGGCTGGAAGTGCAGGCTGCTGGTTCTGGAACCGAATCTGAAACTGCCGAACGTTCAGGAGATGAACGTGGAGGTATGAGAACTGGCGAATGGGCGGAAACTACCGAACGTTCGGGAGATAAACGTGGAGGTAGGAGAACTGGCGAATGGGCGGAAACTGCCAAACGTTCGGGAGACGAACGTGGAGGTACTGATACTGCCGACCGTTCGTTTCCTGTACGGGGAGGTGAGAAAACTGAGTTGAGCGGGGAGGTAGTCATACTGCCGGCTGTTCGGCTGCCGAACGGGGAGGCAGGAAAACTGCTGAACGTTCGGTATTTGTGTCCTCTTTTGCAGGGAAGGAAGGAGAAGTGGCTGCTGGTGACAGGAGTCCCGGAAAGAGGCCATTACAGGCACGGGCCAGCGGAAGAAGGAGGAGCGGTACTGTAGGCTTGGCAGCAGGTCCCTGGAACGCTGGAAGTGCTGTTGGAGGAGTGGGGACAGCGGCTGCACATCGCCCGGGTGAGTCGACCTCTGACGCCAGTGCCCCTCCAGTTGCTGGGCCACGGTTTCCCCCAGGGGTGGGCCATGGTGTTGGCATGGTTGGTGACGGCAGGGTGGCAGGAGGCAGGCAGGGGACGGCTAGGACACGGAGCGGACCAAAAGGGTACAGTGCTACAAGACGCCACAGAGGGTCCCCAGTCAGCGCGCGAGAGCGCAGCGCTTCCCTAGGGTCTCCCATACGACCGGGCAGGGGACGACGTCAGGCAAGTCAGGTAGTCAGGACAGGATCGGAAGGGAGCGCCAGCGAGGGACAGCGCAGAAGGTCGGCACCCTCCAAGAGGATTGCACGCAAGGCTCGAGCAAAGGGCGCGCAGGGTGCTAGGAGAAACCGGTCACGAAGCAGCCATTGGAGGGTGGCTGACGTAGTTGACAGGGACCCCTGTGGGGTGGACCACACCCAGGGGAGGCATAGGGCGCCCCTGTCAGGAAAAGGGGATGGACGCGGCAGGACGACAGTTCCATGAGCGGGAGTTCCCCGGAGAGGAGGCGGGCTGCTGTGCAGGCTCATGACCATCGGGGGCGGACGGCTAGTGGGCGAGAGGGGACGGGGCAGGGTTTCCAAGGCCAGCCTACCCAGGATGTCTTCTCCTTACAGGTCTCGAAGACGGTCACCCTCTGGAAGGGACAGCAGGACAGTCGCCGGCAGGCAAGGCGGACCCGGTTGCAGGACAGGTGTCTTCCAGGTCAAGATCAGGTGAGACCCAGCGCATCAGGAGTACGGCCCGAAGCAGTGGAACGCTTGGGGCAGGACATCCGCAGTCGGTCAGCAACCCCACGGCCTTCTGCAACATTCGGGGGAGCTGTTAGATGACATCAGGCAGCTAATTGATTCTTGGGGTGTAGGGAGAAGGAGGGATGGTGATTGCAGTCAGGTTTGGGCTCGTGTGGGGGAGGTCACTCGGTCTAGTCCGGTGGTGGTTTCTGGGGCCGGGGGTAGCACGGTTGGGGACAGTGGCACGACCCCCACGGTAGAGGTGCCCGGGTTGGCGAGTGAGAGAGAGAACTTACTCGGGGGTGTCCCGGAGGCCACGCGGCAGAATGTACATGTTTCTCTTGCAGGCCCGTTGGGCTTTTGTGAAGACATTCCCCTTTTATTACTCTATTTTCTGCCTATTGCATTCCGTAGATGCAACTACCGAACAAAGACCACCCCCTGGCTCGTTAAACATCAAAGACTGCTTCAATTGATGCCTCTGTCTGTGCTGCCGAACGCCACGTGGCAGAGAAAACCGCGGCCATCTTTGTTCGTGCGAACAAAGGCAGTGAGACTTGGTCGTCGAGTGTATGGAACTGAAATCGGACATTCGACTTCCCGAACACCGGTCTCAAACAGACGAATGCTGGAACTCTACTTACCGAATAGCTAGAAGAGCGCTATTTGGTACTTTGGTGCATTTGACAGAGGGGAACGATCGGTACTTTGTTCGCTTTTCTCCTTTTTCTAAAATGACCGGCAAAACCCACCAAACTCATGGAACTGTTTTGGGCATACAGCCCAGGGGGAGCCGGTCACAGAAGACCTCCTTTTGAGAACCCCTGAACCGATCTGGGTGAAATTCGGATATGTTGGTCACCCAGATCAGGGGTATTCGGGGACATGTTATTTGTGGGGATACTCCAAGTATAAAGGGGTGTTCCAGTTATTGAGGAAAAATTTTATTTTTATGCCTGGAGATAATCAAGTTATTATTTTATCAGATTTAATTATCTCCAGAGCTAGGGGAGGGAACTGTGGGTGTGTGTTATGTTTTTACAGTACATGATTGGTTAATCTTTGTCCCACCCTGAGGGATGTCCCCTTGCATGGGGACTTGCATAAAAGCCTGTGTGCACCCATTAAAAGTTAGTTCATTTTGTACCCTTCTTCTTGACTTCGGTTGATGTTTGGGGATTCGAATGCTTTACTAAGAGAATTATCTGGTAAAGCTATTTGTAATTCGTATGGATTTTGTCTATCTTAACTACCGAACGGAGAGCTACATATAATAGGCTCTGGCGGTCCGGGAAGAAACTACCGAATTAGGTTTGAATACACTTGGTTTCCTTACAGCTGTCATCTCAAGATTGAGGTAAAGGAGAGGATATGGAAAGGGGAGTTCGTGGCGCTCTTTTGCTTCTCCCCCTTGAGGACTACATTGACCTCAAGGAGTAGGATAAAAAGGATGCTAAAAAGGAGGAGGAGGAAAAGAAGCGGAGGTATAGGAAGATCCCTAAGACGTTTGGGAACTAGCTGAGGGCATTCTGCATCTTGGCCAGTGTGATGGGCGAAAAGGCGGAGGAGCGCTGTTCACAGCTCTTCTGTTACCTGGATGGGATTTGGGAAGTGTATCGAACGTATGTGGGTCTGGCATGGTGGCGATATGACGAGCAGTTCCGTCAGAGCCTGGCTGCTAATCCAGGGATGCGGTGGGACCAGATGGACCTACCACTATGGATAAAACTTATGATGGCGCAGAAGGCGTCTCCCTTTCAGACAGGGGCTCGCACGGGCGCTTCCACCACTGTGTTGGCCAACCAAAAACGGGATTATTGTTGGCTATATAACGAAGGACAGTGCAAGTGGGGGGCCACTTGTCGATTCAAGCACGAGTGCTCCAGGTGTGGAGGCACCCACGGACTTCACAGGTGCTTTAAAAAAGGTAAGTCAGCCACCACAGCGGGGGTGCACGGAGGTACGGCCGAGCCCCCTGCCACTGGGTGCCACACCAGTGAAGGTCAGCGTGATGCTGCCGTGGGTAAGCCAATATGCTAACCGGGAAGATGCGGCGTTGCTCGAGGAGGGGTTCACGAACGGGTGAACCCTGCCCAACTGGACCTGCTTAAGCAACTTCTCCCTGACCACCCCCGGAAATTACCCTGCCGACACAGTGGGGCGTAAGTTGGCAGCACTAGCCTTCTTGTTCAAATTTAACGGGTGGGAGGATGCTACCAAACATTTTCTTGTTAGGCAGGCACTGAAAGGTTTCAGGAGGGGTAAGGTGTCAGTGGATTCTAGGAGGCCAGTGTCGTTCGAGTTGCTTCAGCGGGTGGTCCGGGTGCTGCCCGTGGTGTGTTTTTCAGGATACAAAGTTATTTCGTGTCAGCGAGCTGGTCAGCAGCAGTCGCCAAGGGGCCGGGGGGCTTCAGGCGGTGGACGTGGAAGTGTGGAGTAACAAGGTAGTGATCAACCTGAGGCGGTCCAAAACGGATGTAATGGGGAAGGGAACATTGGTTACGTTGTGGGAGCTCCCGGGTGGTGGAACGTGCCCGGTTAAGTGCGCAGCGGCCTTCCATGAGGTACGGGCGATGGCCGGGGGTTCATATTTTAAGCATGAGGACGGCTATTCGCTATCAAAGTTCCAGTTCCTCAGGGTTTTTTGGAAGGCGTTGGCAAGGTTGGGAGTGGACCCTGGCCATTTCGGGATCCATTCCTTTATGATTGGTGCGGCTACTGAAGCGGCGAGACTAGGCTTGGGTGATGAACGGGTGAAAAGGATTGGCAGGTGGGAGTCGCTGAGGTTCAGGTCTTACGTTAGGCCAGACAAGTTGGTATAAAGTTTAAGGGTGGTTAAGGGGGAATGTTGGTTTGATGGTTGTTTTGTGGTTGTCTATGTTTGCTTTATGTTTTACAGGTCGGATGGCATGGGTGGTCAGCCACTGTGGAAATATTTATGGGATAATAATAGTAAACAGTGAGAATTGCCCACTAATTCAATTCTCAGATCCCAAAGGTCGTTATCGAGTTAAGTGAAAAGTATTTCATATAAATAAAATCACAATTTTGTTATAAAAATAGATTTATTTTATAATAACAATTAATTAACAAATAATATTATGTAACATGCGTGACAATAATCAATGAATATCCAGTATAAAATGATATGCAATACAAAGGAATGGCTATACACGTTTCAATGGCTAAACAGCATTTTCTGTCAAGACTTACACGATTTATGACTATCTTTCACAGAGAGAAAGCAAAGCTTTTCACAGCGAAGGGCCATAAAACCCTGGCTAACAGTTAGATCAACTGAGTAACCCTTTCAATGCTGGCTAGATCTCCTAGGTAATTAAGATCTATTCTTATGTAATTTTAAATAAAATAACATTTAAACCAGTTCATTAGTCATTTCCTGGAACCATCCAATAAGAGAATCTACCATGTCATATAAGCAGAGTTTGTTTTTAATTTGCCTTAAAAGATATCTTATCTTATATTAGAGCAAATCAATACACCTGGATAAAAACAGCGGTATGCTAACACGTGATAATATCACATCAATATATAATTATTCTTAATTCCACCTGCAGAATGGAATGGTTATAACTATATATTCTTTAGTTAACTAAGATTTCTTAATATGGAAATCTGACCGTGATTTATCCAGTCATATATCATGCTATTAGTAAATTTTAATTAATTTAATTAATTAAATGAAACAAGTATAATTACCAGTTGAGTAGATATTTCATCCGATTGGTAGATAGTCTCAGGAACTTATTTGGATGTCTCTCTGCATGGAGGTGCGTGGGTAATAGTGAAAAGTGGTGTTGGTTAGAAAGTCAATAAAATTCTAAGTATTAGAATTTTAAGAGTAGAGTGTTAGTCTCAGATGTTGTCCTGGGTTTCTCTGCATGTCCGAGTTGGAGTCCCCAAACCTCCAATTCCTCTCTCTCTTTTTTCCTTCTTCCTCTTTGTCTTAACTTTTAAAGGGAAAATTCACTAGTTGGTAAACCAATAGCAACACTGGGGGTGTGGTTATCTAGGGATTGCAATTTAGGTATTTGGTCTATAAAGGGCAGTCTTGTCCCACTAAACATACCTATCCAGGAAAGAGTTAACTTTTCTTGGTGGCTATTTTGACCTCATTTTGGCTTATCTTTATA